TTTATGGTGATTTATGCAAGTGATCGCAAAAGGTAGGTGTAAAGCAACAACCATTTATGCAGTTAACGACCTGAGTACTTCAAGTCCTGTATAAAAACGCATGATCGCACGGGCCCGCCCGGGGCATTCCAGCCTGGGTTGCATGCATTCGAATAAAATCGTTGGCGACGCGCACCAGGCGGACCCGTGCGACCATGAGTTTTTGTGGCTTTCAACTCAAGAACCAAAAAAGCTAGAACGCTGAACTTGGGAGCATATACCCACCCCTCTACAGCCCTCGTCTTTTCAATATTGTCATTCGCGTACCCGCGTACGACTCCTCGAGAAAGTATGCAAATTTTTTGGCGGAAAGGCGATTTCGTAAATCTATCTAGGTAGAAGCCTGGAATTTTAAAGGGATGTTCCCTCTTTAAGTACAACTTAAAGAATTCAAATTCACTCCCCAGGCATGCGTGATATGCACATACGGTCGCGTGAAAATTTTGGTGGGGAAATTGCTAACTCAGGAGCCAGAAAAATTAAAAAGCTGAAATTAAGGACGGGTTCTTTGTCCGAGCACAACCTAAAGGTTTCACATTCAGTCCACAGGTGTGCGTAGCTCTTACGTATGAGGACGTAAAAATTTTGGCGAGTAAACTGCCCGATGACTAGCTAGGTTGATTTCAAAAAGGGCCGTTAAACGGGAACTGTTCATTGTCCCTTGTGCAAAATGTAAGATGATTTACGATGAGTACACAGATAAAGCAACAACCATATTCACACATTCGTAGAGTTAACGACCTGACTGCTTCAAGTCTAACGCAAAAACGCATGATCGCATCGACAGACCTGGTGCATTCCAACCTGGGTATAAATTCAGGGTGAAGCGAGTCGGAAATTTCGTTTTTGTGCGTTTTGTGCTGTGAAACAACTGCACAAAATGCATGCTGTGTGGGCTGGTCCATGTGTGTGCATGTTTGTGTGTATGTGTGTGTGCGTGTGTTTGGTTGAGTGAAGATTTTGTCCACAACTTTCAACTCGGAAACCACAAAAGATAGGGAGCTGAAATTTTATGAGGATATTCCTTGTCCACGTGTGACCCCGTGTACTTAATTTCAGTCTTCCCGTACATCTCGCGTGACTCAGTAAAAGTTTTGGCGGGGAAGTTATTACCTCAGGAGTCACGAAAGCTAGGAAGCTGAAATTTTAGGTAAATATCTCTGCTCACGTACAACTCCGCAAATTTAAATTCATCGCACTGGCTGCTCGTGCGCTCAGCTACTTTTTCTTGAGTAAGCAAGATAGGATAAATGACAAAGAGGTAAGTTAACACATTCCATAACTTTCGAGCTTTTAATTTCATTTCTATTGTAGTCTGTTGTTGTTACTTCAGGACTGAACTAATCGAACTTTAATGCACTTTTTGCGTTAGCGGATTTAAATGCGGATCGTGTTAAAACTTGTATTAAACAAAAACACATCACTGCGCCGTTCTGCCCTTGTCCCTTTCCTTTCGCTTCCTACGGTACACTGTTCAAGACAAGTTTTGTTTCAGGATCAGCTGGATGCGGATTTTTTTTGTCGCAGAAGCTTGCTGACAATGATTGGGAACACTATGAATTTTAAGCAGACTGCTTGGAAATTTGGAGTCATCAAATATCAGAGCGTACATTTTCTCTGTGTGGTTAAAACACCTTATAAACGCTCCGAACGCGATAGCATTACGAACTACCGCGGACACAAATTTGAGCAGTACATGACCTCCGGGATCAATGAAACGGTTTGTGAAAGCGCTTCAGATTAGTTTTATGTCGAAAAATTCTGAACAGGGGAACATCTAATTTTCAACTTTTCCAATTTG